GTCACACTATACGCGATCTACTATCGCCACACGGCTCCAATGTTTGCTGATGTTGTGCAAACACGTGTTTAGCATGATTGTAAAACTCTTGTTGTAATGTGTGTCCGCATGATTGTAATGTGTGAGCTTGCGTGTCCGCAGCGAAAATATCAAACGATCAGTATGCTAATCACGTGATTGAAAGATGAACCTTTCACCAGAGATCACATGACTGTTGGAGCCATGGTTGGAGCCGTGTGGCGACAGTAGATGTATTGTCCGCTCAATTTATCGCATGCGGATGCGAATATTTTCGCCGCGAATTTCGCTGCGGATCTGATCACAGCGAAATTCGCATGGTGTGTCCCCCGCCCATATGCGAATTTATTCGCAGGTCCGCAGCGATTGTTAAAATCGCAGCGAAATTCGCATGGTGTGTCCGCTCAAGTGTATTATCTGGTGTATAATTTGAACCAAATCTACTTCTCACGCGCGACTTTACCGCTGACCTACTGCTACAATATATGCTACAAATATTCCGAATGTTGAGATTAGTACTAGTGGCTCCATGTTATTATGTAAGGAAGGCAGTACGTTTTCCATTTTTCATGGAAAACTGTTTCGCAGTATGTCCTCTCTTTGTTAAATACGCAATTCCAACAAAATGATACCGATATTAGGCATGCGCTCAGGTACGTCTGACCCTAGATTCTAACGCGTTTCAATGAGGTTTGAATGATTTGCCGCCTAATAACAAATGGAGTGAGTAATTTGGATCAATATTTTCCATAATTAACTAATGTTGAGTTTGTGCTTTCCAGAAATGTATGATTCCATCAAAATCATATATACAGGGCTCTGGCTAGAGGGGTGTGTGTGGGGCAGCGGAGGTTGTTTCCGTACTGGGTATATAATCTATATATTATAGCTATGACTGTGGCAATGACGCACTGCACACGGAAAACTGTTTAGAACGCAAAACGCACGTGCATTTGCCCTTTTAACCAAAATAAGTTATTACTGGGAACAAACTGCCACAGGAAAATCTAAGCTCATAACAGACAGGAAAACCCGATTTTTTACGTTGACTATTTACGGTGACGTAATCACTTTCAATTTATTATATTCAACGCGCTCTTGAATGTAGTCAGACCTGAGAGGTTACTGTTATCGAGACAAAATTTCCACTTTCACAATGATGGTAAGCACAGTGTAGGAAATCTCACGTATAATGTTCTCAATGAAAAATAAAGTAAAAAGCAAAAAAGTGAAGCCGCAGTGTCGCAATGTAAGCGTTTAATAGCGTTTTTGAACAAGTAATCCAATTCAGTGCTTAATATCGCGGGGCTCGGTATATGGACGTGACAACTCACAAGAGATTCAAGCTATTACACGCGCGGCCTGGTCTAGCAGGCGCATTAGTGTATGTCACTATTACGCACAACATACCTACCAATGTTACAGTAGCAATGCTTTCTCCTGATAGGTAGCGCAACGAAGTCATATATCGACCGACTAGAATTACGGAAACGTATCTATGACACACAAGCGTACGGGTGTGAGTTTTCAACATCTCATCAAAATCCAGTCGATAGTTTGACAATCCAAAAACATAACCGAATAACAAATATCATTTATAGTCCAAGGAATCGTCCTGAAGAAGAACAGAGCCTAAAATTAGCTAATTGGCAGATCAGCACTGTTGTTGTGGGTTGCAGTAGAAAAGCGTAGGAATTGGCCGAATGCCCGCAGATAAATCGGCCCAATCAATGTTTAATATACGCACACCCACGAGCGCGCACGCACACACGAGCACGCACGCGCACGCAAACGGACACGTGCGCGTAAAAGTCTGTACCTAAAAATCGAATTTTGCACTCGGAGGTAATGCACCGCATCGTTCATTACACATATATATCCTACTACACAAAATAACTACCATATGCCAACTAGTAATCCCAATTCTCTAGAAACCAAAATTATGGGTAAAGGAACCCAAGCGAATGTGAATTTGTGTCGTAGGAAAATGTTGAAGCATGGCAATTTAGCGTTATAATGTATCGTGCATGTGCGTACGTGAGTGCATGTATGTGTGAGAGAGACGAAGGGTAAAACATAAATGCGATTCCTTTATATGATAACTATTTTTTCGAACTTCGGAACTACACAATGGAATCCTACGGGGAATTTAATGATAGTTGCGTGTCAGTGAAAGGCTTGTTTCTGCACGACGGTTACCGTGGCAACGGTTACCTTGGACAGCGTTTACTCGGAGTCTACTTTGATGCTAAACCGCGTTGCTAGATGCAGCAGCTGTGAAGGCTATCCCGCTGCGGGGCGCCAGTCGCCCGTCTCTCAACCCAAGACGCGACGTGTTTTTCACGCTAGCGGACTGATCCCAACCGCGCCCGCCCAGGCACAGAACGTGTCTGAAGCCAGCACGAAACTGTCTGTTGGTCACGCCGTAGACGATCGGGTTGAGGCAGCTGTTGAAGTGCGTTATAAAGATCGCGAAGAGAAAAAATGGCGCCGGCCAGTCGTAGTTCGGATCGAAGTAGAAGTCAAAGACAATCGGAGTCCAGGTAAGAACGAACACGACAAAGATCGTGCAGAGGGTTTGTGCGAGTTCGGTCGACGGCGTAGACGTCTTCGTTTTTGGCTGGACCGCACCTGCAGCTGCGACCTGTAGCGAACGAAGGCAATGTTACCCCGTTCTCGCTACGGTGTCGCCGAATAACCGAGTATCTTCGGTAGGGAGAATGCAAGAAACGTCACTATTGTTATTACCAAAGATTGACGGCGAATAGCCGTACCTGTCATCTTTAGCTACTAATGCAGATGTGGCTAATGAATAAGAGGCACATTGGAGATGTATGGAGAGGTTATGTACGTTGCATTCCTACTGAGATAATTTGGTTTCTGCGAGTGTACGTTATGTACGATTTATAATAAACTCAATTTTATGCGGTCACTGTCCACAGCAAAAACTTTTCACTAAATTTGGAAGGTAGAATTGAATTACAGAGATTCGGACAAATGTAAGGTTTGAGATGGCGTTGACGGGCACACGTACGCGCGGGGAATAACAAGACTCACAGTGGCGCTAGAAGTAGTGCCAGTCTAACCCGAAACCACTTACCCGCTGCTTACTCTTGTAAACGTGGAGGAATACCTTCAGGTAGCAGATGGCTGTCACCGCTACGGGCGTGATTACGCAGACCGCTGCCCACAGGTGGCGGTGTAGCGGGCTCGCGTACCAATTCAACAGGCACGATTGCGAACGGAGTTCAATCCAGAAGCCAGAACCGTTGTCGTAGAAGAACGCCGGCAGATTCATGACGAAGACGGCAAGCCAAGTGACTACGACGATGGCGACGCATTTGCTCGATGTGAACACGCGTCCGTAGACGTTGGGGTAGCAAATGGCGAACATACGACTGACACTGATGACCATCAGTGTGAAGAGCGAGGCGTTACACACGTTCATGCATGCGGCTCCCGTGAACGTGCATAGAATCTTCGACCCTGTTAACACCTTCTCCTTGAGAAATCCTGCAGTGAGAAACCCCGGGAAAGGGGGCTGTAGATCATTGATCTATACATTATAGCATATTATATATAGATAGGTATAGGCCTATGGGAATTTAATGAAAAGGCAACCAGGTTGATCTTTTTATAGAGTACGTGGTGCGCAAACCCGAAGCAGTCATGTATCATTTCAGATGGAAAAATTGTGTTTATCTCGTGGGGATGTATGAACAATAACCGCTGATTATGCTATGAAAGATGCGGTTTGCGGAATTAAATTACAATTTTAATGGACAGTAAGTATGAATTGATACGAAGAATAGAATTCATCACAGAGTTAGTGCATGAAATGCTATCACCGTCTTCACATTTACCTCCGTCACAGTCATCAAAATAAATACGTGTTCATAACCGTATAAGAAACTTACAAGTCTATTCATAGATTCATATAATTATATCATGATTATTATAGGACGGAATAAAGAGCACCGTTACGATAACACTAGATTGGGCAATCGAGAATCACTAGCGACACATTGAGAAATGAATTAACGTTAGCAATTAAATCCACAACAACATAGCGCGATTCAACTCAAACTGTACATTACATTAAATTCGCGAATTTAATGAATATAGGTTTAGTATATGTGTAGCTCACCTACAATTCCCATAGGTGTGATGTATCCAGTGACGCCAAGATCAGCGATGGCCAAAGCTGAGATTAGCACAGCAGCCAACACCAGAATGTTGCCAACGACGCCGATACCTGTTACATGCACACATACATACATACAGAGATGTTTCCGTGTGTGCGTGTGTGTGCGCGCGCGTGTAGATCAGGTGCGTGCGTGAAGTTGATGTGTTTGCGTCTGTAGTCGGTTTGTCAATGTGTACGTGCGTGCGTGCGTGATGTGTGGTGCGTGTATGCGTGCGTGTGTGCGTGTGTGCGTGCGTGCGTGCGTGAGTACGTTTACGTGTGTGTGTGTGGGTGGGTTCGTGTGTGCGTACGTACATGCGTCCGTGCGTCCGTGCGTGCGTGCGTATGAATGTATGTATGTATGTTAGATGTATATATGTATGTGTTCGTGTGTGCGTGCGTGCGTACGTGCGTGCGTGCGTACGTACGGGCGTACGTGCGTGAATATGTGCGTGCGTGTGTGTGCGTGCGTGCGTGCGTGCGTGCGTGCGTGCGTGCGTATGTGCGTGCATGTGTGCGCGTGTGCGTGCGTGCGTGCGTGTGTGCGTGCATTCATTGCGCGCATTGTATGTGTATCGCTCGTGAAACGTAACGCAATGTTTTGAGCTTATGAGTGAACGAGCTTACGCGTACACCACGCACGCACGCACGCACGCACGCACGCACGCACGCACGCACGCACGCACGCACGCACGCACGCACGCACGCACGCACGCACGCACGCACGCACGCACGCACGCACGCACACACACACACACACACATACACACGATCACACGCGGCCACACCCTGCCACCCTCACCGTCGCCGCTATCGTCCGAACTCGTCGTCGTCGTCGGGGTCTTGGACGCGTGATCGGGCGACGACGACGACTTCTCGCTGCCGGTCGTCTGCTGCGACGAGCCGTCGTTGCCGTGCGGCTGCGCGAGGATCTGAAGCTTCTGTATGGGAGCGGGACCGTGCTGGATCTGCATGTGGTACTTGTACGTGTTCTCCGTGCTCTCTATCATACCTAACACAGAGGAGGAGATTGTTGGGATGAAAGCGGAGATGATCCACACGTCGTGAACACGTATAATAACTATGTATGTAATATATATATATTGAATGTAGTAGTATCACGAGCATGTTTATATACAAATACACACTATATTTGTGCGTGCGTGCGTGCGTGCGTGCGTGCGTGCGTGCGTGCGTGCGTGCGTGCGTGCGTGGGTCCGCATGTGGTAATTGTACGTGTTCTATGTGTGTATATATACACGTTTTTTCAGTAAAACAAAGATTGAAGGCTTTGGCAGGCCGAGAGAGGATTTGCAGGACACGTTGACATCAGATCACGCCAGCATCCAACTAGCAATCTTCACGCTCATCATCAACACAGAGATTCTCTCAATGTAACAGTGAGGTTGTGAGTGAGTATAGGTAGTGAGTGAGTAGTATTGTGAGTGTACAGAGGTGTAGAGTGAGTAGGGAGTGAGTAGCAGTGAGTGAGTAGTAGGTTGTGAGTGAGTAGGGGTAGTGAGTGAGTGAGTAGAGACAGACACTTACCTGAGGTGAGGTCGAATGTTCTACCCCTGATGCCGACCTCTTTAGGCGGCGGCGACCACCAATTCACGAGAGACCCCACCAGGGGCACGTAGCGAAGGACGCCCTAGAATCGGGACTAGAAACTAGAGTCGTTGTAACCACTGCTATAATAGAGAGCAGTGGTTACAACGACAACAAACAGACGAATAAACTTTAACTAAAGGAGCATGTCCTTTTCACGCTTACACAAGTACGAAACCGATTTTATTTAACGAGAAAAAAAATTGCCGAAAAGGTCGGTCGGTTGGAGAGCGGACAGGGAATACGTACTTCCTGCATGATTTTCTCAGCATTTTCCTGCTCCAAGTCTTTGTTAACCGCCTCGATTCCCTTCTTCACGACTTCCGCCATCTGCTCGACAAACTGCAAGTAACAATAATAAACGCACTTCTCAGCTAGACGCCACGAGCAGAATGTCCAGACGAAGATTTTATCGCGAACTAATTCTTCGGAACCTATCACACTATTATCTGACTATTACCGTACTACTATTACTATTACCATGAAGATGTCTGTTATGCGTGCATGGCCTGCGCGCGGCGTGTGAATGTCTATTATATGTGCGTGTGTTTATAAACACCTTATACGTTACATATTATATATTGTTTTATAGTTGCATGCCTGATACATAAATTATACGTATTAGGAATATTATTTAGCGGTGAATAATAATAAAATGTTGTCAAAACCTCTACAAAGTAATGACAAAATTTGTCAATTATTCACTGGCCGTGATATATTCGATTGCTATATACCATCATAGATCGTATACTCCACATTACAGGAGGCAATTTACATTCAGAACGCGCGCGGTACATTCACGACACAAGTTAATTACTGTTACGCTGTTAGCTACTGCATACTATTAACTCGTATTAGTATTACTAACCCATTACACCGAAGGTAAATTTATATTCAGACAGCGCGCCGTACGCTACAAACAAGTTATTACTGTTACGCTGTTACTACTGCATACTATTACGTATTACTCCACATTACAGAGGCAAATTTACATTCAGACGCGCGCGTCACACTGACACAAGTTATTTACTGTTTATGCTGTTACTCACTGGCATACTATTACTGTATAACTACACATTACGCAGGTACAATGTTACGATTCGGACGCAAGCCGCGTACACGACACAAGTTATTACTGTTACGCTGTTACTACTGCATACTATTACTGTATTACTCCACATTACAGAGGCAAATTTACATTCAGACGCGCGCGTACACGACACAAGTTATTACTGTTACGCTGTTACTACTGCATACTATTCTCGTATTACTCACACAATACAGTAGGTAAATTTACATTCAGATGCGCTCAGTACGCTAATTCAAGTTATCTACTGTTACGCTGTTACTACTGCATACTATTACTGCGTATTACTACACATTAACAGAGCGTACATTCTACCTCGGACGCAGCAGCAGTGACACGACAAAGTTTAATTACTGTTATGCCTGTTACTACTGCAATACTATTACTCGTAATTACTACACAATACAGAGGTAAATTTACATTCAGATGCGCTCGTACGCTACACAAGTTATTATTGTTACGCTGTTACTACTGCATACTATTACTGTATTACTACACATTACAGAGGTAAAAAAAAAGAAAAAAATTTACATTCAGACTCGAGCGTACACGACAGTCCGCGTGTGTCCCTTACCTTGGATGACTCTTCCACCTCGCGTCCCGCGTCAAAGACGACACTGATTAGGTCCTCTGTGTCAGTGTCTGCCCGTCAGCAATCCCGAAGGTATGCACGCCAGTTCCTTCCGTCGTCTCCCCTACGTTTAAAAAAATCGATCCCCGAAAAATTACGTTCAACAAATATCGTCTCAGCTAACAGTGCTGTAGAAAATAGTAACCGTGATTTTCAGTAACAGTAAAATTGTTACTAGTAACCGTATACAGTTAACCTTGTTACGCCATATTCTTTTCGCTACACCATCGTGTACACTACTAAGCATAAAGAACGAGAGAAACGGCGACGATTTTGACGACGGCAATTTGCCACAGGGATCGGTGGACCTCGATTCTATAAGTCTCGTGTGATTGGCCGGTAGCTTTAGCCAATACGGCTATGCTACGAGAGCATTCATAAAAACACTGCTTAAGTGAGCAAAGTTCCCATAGAATCGATACTGATCCGATTACGGAGCGTGTTCAGTAAAAAACGTGGCCTGACGACTTAGCAACGATATGGCCAAGCTAAGAGATGCCCGGTTGTCTCGCTATGTAAAAATTGAAAAATTGAAAAAAATCTCAATTTTAATTTTTAAATCTTTTTTAGATCGCTCAGATGCAGATCCATCGATTCCTCGATCAAGCGCATGAACACATAACCGCACCGACCGGCGACCTCGGGGTTGGAGGAGAGGAGAGGAGCGCGAGGAGGAGGATGGAGGAGAGAACATACCGAGGTGAATGCAGAAGTCGGTGCTCTCAGCTGGTGGGCAGCAGCTCCACATTAACCTTGTTCAACTCGTTCGCTCTGCGCGCTCCCGAGATTATCCAGCTCATCCCGGAGCGGCCCGGCACGTACCATGCACACGGAAACAACACGGATTAACATGGGCCCGCCCCCACAGACATACAAAACATGGCCGCCCGCGGACATAAACATGGCCCACGCCGCGGCAGACAATACAAAACATGGCTGCCGCGCCGCAGACAATAAACATGGCTGCCCGCTGCACACCTACAAAACATGGCTGCCCCCACAACATAAAATCATGCCGCCCCGCGGACATAAAACATGCCGCGCGCCGTGGACATAAAACATGGTGGCCGCCCGCCCCGTGCGGGACATACAAACAATGCCCGCCCCCTTGGCGTGCGGCATACGACCGCAGCCATAAAACATGGCTGCACACAAGAAAGAGATAGAAGGGAAATGAACCACCACCCACACGTGCAAGCCATGAGACAGTTTTCATAAAAATTTTCCTATTGCATGCCCATTTCTTATTTGTAGTTAAGCGGTGCGCCACGTCGCGTGACGGAGGCGACGGGGGCGCGGTGCAGCACGATGAGTATTACTGCACGCACCGGAGACCGGCCAGTTGCGATGTCGACGAAGCCGCAGTTGCCGTTCGACTTGACTCGCTGTTTGCGGAAGACATCTCTGGTGAACGGTGGCGTTCAAGATGGCGATCTTAGTCCGTGAGACAGGCGATGAAAGTCCTTCTATGTCCTGCATCGTGCGTGCCGACAGACTACAACAGACGACAAAAAAGCGCGGGGGAGGTGGGTCGTTAGCAAGGGATGTTACGAGAGGTGTGTACGACTCATAGATAGAGACGCTGACGCCAGTTTACGCGTGCCACAAGTATACTGTAATCATACATTATAACTATGTGTGATTAAATGTATAACTTACATGTAACTATCGTCATATTACATATATATTATATATATAATCGTAAATATTAACTGATAGTTACAGTAATATATAGCTATGTATATTATTTTACTGATATTTATCTCATTTGTATTATATACTATATAATAGTACCTGTTAGTCATGCTATATCATTACGTTATATGAATTGTATGCACATTCATATCATTAATAGTTTATTACATCCTTGACAAACAATCAGAAGATTATTAACGCTCACTATTATCAAGCCAACTAAGATCACATTATAAATATTAAAGAAAACAAATAGCCGCTACTAGTATCAGATTGTTTATTAACAACGGACGCCAGCTAATCATGTTAAGTACTGGCAATGCAAAAGTTATAGCAGGAAACAGGCACAAGTATTCCGCTTAACCAGCAGCGGACTGCAGCGTAGAAAAAACCGACAAAAACACCCGATTTCATACCATGCAGCATTCTCCAAGGGGGGCAGAAACAGTAAGCAGACGCCATCGCTCTCAGGTCAATGAGGTCAATGAGAACTTCCTTGCATGTCCCTCTGCATCGTCTGCCAAGGCTACAGTGGAGAAACCGCGAAACCTAAAACCTACTACCTCTTTCTACGCTCGGTGAACCACAAAAATCAGAATAGCGCGCCTTAGTTTCCTCTACAAGATAAATGCAGCCAGCGAAACTGCCTCTAAACGGCAACGATGTGGAATTCAGTCGCTGTTAGGAACTTTTCGAGTGGCCATCGTTGAAGTACGCACCCTAGTTGTTGAACGCGTCGTATTGTAGGACGCCATTGTATGCAACTGTTCTCTCTCTGCATTCCTCTGCATACGGCGCCACCTCCACTCGCTGAAAAATACGGCAACTCTCGCTATACTTAATAACGATCTTCACAGCACCGTTTATTTAGTGCCACGGTCAGCAGCAAAATGCATCAAAGGGTATCAAGAATGGTCGTAAATAATTACCTATAGATACCATATCTTGACACAATACACGAGCATGTATTACATAATTTATATGTATGACATACATATTATAATATACTATATACATATTATATATATCGTATTGACATATTAGTATAACATATGTACCTCACATGTTCGAACTGGGGCTAGGCCATATAACATTCCCCACCGGCGATTTACAGGAATTTTATCCACATCTATCTGATTAATGCTAGCCCAGATCTTTCCGAATCACGCGCGCAAGGTGCGATAAGCACATGAGAGTCGGAGGAATGCACTCGTAC